GTGTGGAGACACTCTATATACGTATATATATGAAAGGAGAAATTGAACAAGTCGTTTGTCGGCCGCCCTAGGAATTTATGTGAGCAGAGAGCGCGCTGCTCGAGTTGAAAATTAAACATTGCGTATACGCCTAGGTGCATAATAATTCATGCCTGGAGTAGCGCCTGCCATTGCTCACCAGGCGACTGCAGGCGAAATTGTGTGTAAAATGTTTTAATATGAGCTCATAATATACGAGCCACAGACTGGGCGGGGCTGTAAGGGGAACCCCAACCAAAGTGAGTGGACACCGCAGCTCAATTTGTGATTTATGGACATTGCCTCTGGTATAAGGGAAGCCCCCATTTCGGTTATTGAAGGAGCGTATTGGCTTGCAAGTGTTGTCCTTTGTGCTGCATTTCGGGCCAAAGGCCATGAAATTTTATTGTTTAGTTTGCTGGCCGGTCAAGGCGTGCGATATGCCTAAAAATGGCTGCCAGCCGGATATCCTGTGGCACACGGCCTGCAATTGAATTTACATTTGGTTGTTCTACACTCGCACCCGAAAAAAAAAACGCACACAAAAACACTCAGGACCTCGTGCGCTTTTTGCTTGCAACTTTTTGGCATTTGTTTTCGTTCCTCTGTTGTTTTTGGCCCTTTTTTAATTGAGCTGGAACTTGTTTTGTGCTCTCGAGGACACCCTGGGATAACAATAATAAAATTCTATGATGTTTACTCGCCGGCCAGCGAGGCGGAACCCGGGCAGGCTTTAAGGCCAGCTCCTGTCTTCCGATTGAATCGGGGAAATTCAATCAGGAACTGACCTAATTATAATCTGCGTAAATCCTACACACAAAACACACCGCAGCTCTGATTTTGTTTGCGTTGGTTTTTTGCTATAAGCTGCACATTTAGTAGTTGGTTTCCATTACCGAACTGGCCAGCTCGTGTGGTTGGCGATTTTTTGTCGACAGTCGAACTGAAAAATCAATTATGCCCTGCCTGGTATTTTAATTGTGAAGCGTTTTGCAAATATTTTAGCACTTTTAAATAAATACATGCCGTCGGGCAACTGCTCTTCGGTTGAATTTATGGCAGCAAAAGTTAAAACGAAAGCCACGCCAAAAAATGGAGCTCACGTTAGACGTGGCGAAAAACGTTGACTGGGAATGGCAGGCCGCATAAAATTGGCGTGTGTCGACATTTCGAAAAATTCAAATATTTTTGTAACATTCTTGGTGTTTTTATTCTCCAAAAACTGGTCCTGGGGTTCCTTTATTATGTAAGCGGGAGTTCGCTGCATGAATCTAAGGCTAAAATTGCATCAGCTACCTTTCAAGTTCTTTCGTTAATCAGGATGGACCTTTTTATGCGTCTAAATTTAATTTATAATTTATACACAGACAGAGTTGTCCTCAGGCTACGGCTGGATTTTAGCAATTATTTGATTAAGTTGCCAGATTGCTTTCACATATTGGAAATATCAGTTTACACTTGCGATAATCTCAAGTATACACGAGGGCCAAGGCCAAGCCCTCAGGAGCCCTTTACTTTTGCTTTAATTCAGTCAATGCACTGGAAAACTTACACTGGTAGAAAGTACTTAAGAAAATAAATAAATTTAATGTAAGGTTTATAAAATATTATTATACTAATACTGATATTTTTCCAGTATATAAAATCAAACAAAGTTCGGCCATCGTTTCGAGTGCAGCCTGCTGGCCAGGGTGACCCTCTCGGAGCCTGGATGGGTTCAAGAACCCACACCAATGTCGTTGACATTCCGCGAAAGTAAAAGCCAAACAAAACGGACACCGCCGAGGGCCACGGACCGGGACATTATGGGGAAGAGTGGGCGACATTCCGACCTGGTCTGGCCAGAGGACCCTTTGCAATCTGGGCAATATTCAACGATATTCCACCAACTGTCGTTAATTACACAAATGCAAAAGTCCGTTGAGCGACCAAATTGGTTGGTAATAAATAAATTCAATTGAATAATTTATTTAATTTATTTTCGGGGGCTGCCGGAGCGTGACACCTAAAAAGCAGTAAACAAAAACAAACTGTTTTATTTTTCAGCTCCTGCACCCGTGTGCATGTGTGTGTGGCAGGTGGGCACATCGAAGTGAAAAAATGAGCCCGGGATGCGGAAGTGTTCAGCAGGCTGACAGCGAGGTGTTAGAATTTGGTGCAGTGCAAAAAAAAAGGAGACATAAAGCAAACGACAAATGGCCAGCGGGGCCGAAACACATTTTTCACACTGGCCGAGGAGGGATGAATGTGTGTGGCACCGGCCAAGTGAATTTGAGGAACGAAAACAAATCGTTTAATTGGCTTAAGCAAAACGTAACCATTGCCGATTATATAACCATCCAGGTCCCAACTCAACCCAGCGACAATGGCGTTGACAGCGGCGTCGACGGCGCCAGCGACTGCGACTGGAGATAAACCAGTTTATATAGTAGTTGGCCAGTTTCTTCCCGCCCTCCGTCCTCGGCCTCCGCCTCCGCCTCCGCGGCAGCCACTGCCTCACTTAGCCTAACCGACTTCGCTGCTCCGTTTTTTAAGAGCAAACTGACGCAAGGGTGCCGCACCAAACTACACCGCAACCACAAGAGACAACCACCAGGCGTCACCGCCACACAACCGATCTCAGCAACGGGTTTGGCGTGTTATCACAGTAGCCTTCGGCTATGGCAAATGGCTAAGTGCAAGCTAGCAGGGGCTCCTAGTGGCTTCGGTTTCGAATGTATATTCCAGGAACAGGAGCTTACTTCAACAGTTATTTCAAAGTTATTTAATTTCAATATTTAAAGTGGATTCTTTCCACCCACTTGACACGAGACGTGCCTGCTCCCAGACTCCACTGTATCAACTCCGGTCCACAATCTGGTCCGACCCGACCCGAGACTTCGTGTGGGCCATCCAGCGAGAGCATATAAAGATAATGGAAAATCTTGGCGCGACTTAGTCGGCCAAACCCGTTGGCACATTCGCACTTGAACACTCGTCCCAGCCAGAAATGCAGTCCCGCACGCTCCTGCTGATCGCCGCCGTTGGCATCGCCGTCGTGGCCCAGGCCCAGGTCAGTGCCCAGTGGTTGCCCTTGCTGATGGATGTGACTCCTTACCCCCGCCTTACTTTGCAGGCGGCGGCCAAGTTCCAGGTGAAGAACCACGAGGACGCCGAGAAGGCCTTCGAGGAGTGCCGCGAGGACTTTTACGTGCCGGACGACATCTACGAGAAGTACCTGAACTACGAGTTCCCCGCCCACCGGCGCACCAGTTGCTTCGTCAAGTGTTTCCTGGAGAAGCTGGAGCTCTTCACGGAGAACAAGGGCTTCAACGAGAAGGCCATGATCGCACAGTTCACGGTCAAGAGCAGCAAGGACCTGTCGACCGTGCAGCATGGCCTGGAGAAGTGCATCGACCACAACGAGGCCGAGTCGGATGTCTGCACATGGGCCAACCGTGTCTTCTCCTGCTGGCTTCCCATCAACCGGCATGTGGTCCGCAAGGTCTTTGCCTAGAAGAATTGTGATACAATCGTTTGATATACTTTAAATTTGTTTTAGACAAGAATTGGTCCTAATAAATAACATTTTCTTATAACAAAAATAATCATTTTCAGGTATTTACAGGAGTGGACTTTTTATTCATTCAATAAAATATTTCTTTCATGAAAAAAACCTTTCCTTTCTTCTTTCCATTTATCTTTTCTTATTCAGCTTTATAATAACTATAATATTTTTTCTGCCTTCTGAAACTATGTCTTCATTTTTTATTGTGTTCATTTCATAAATTGTTTATACACTTCTTTAATTTACAGTTCTTTACTAATTCTATTTATTAGTTTGTGACTAATCTCTACAAAACAACAATCCTCGGAAATTTACAATTCCATTAATTAACACTTAACACCATAAAATAAGAAACAACTTAAACAGAACGCTGTTTTTATACCCTTGCAGGGTATTATAATTTCAGTCAGAAGTTTGCAACGCAGTGAAGGAGACGTTTCCGACCCTATAAAGTATATATATTCTTGATCAGCATCAACAGCCGAGTCGATCTAGCCATGTCCGTCTGTCCGTCTGTCCATCTGTCCGTCTGTCCGTCTGTCCGTCTGTCTGTTTCTACGCAAACTAGTCCCTCAGTTTTAACGCTATCTGAATGAAACTTTGCATATAGTCTTCTATATGCTCTCACTGCTATATATGTCGGAACGGGCCGGATCGGACGACTATATCATATAGCTGCCATACAAATGTTCGATATATTTGTAGAAAAAAAATTATAACTTTGTTGTTTTTCAACATTTTTGCACCATTTTTTAGATATGGCCATTTTTTATTATTTCAGAATTTTGGTAAAAATTTTATGAAAATCGGTCGACTATATGATATAGCTGCCATAGGAACGGTCGAGAAATAAATAGATAAAAAATTATAGTTTCGTTGTTTTTCAACGTATGTTTATCTACTCTGAGATATAAGCTTTTTTTATTATTCTAGAATTATGGTATAAATTTTATAAAAATCGGACAACTATATCATATAGCTGCCATATAAACCGATCGGTAGATGTAGAGAAAATGTAAAACTGGGAATGTAAAACTGTAACTTTCAAACTGTAAACATAATAAGTATAGGTAAAATGTAATGAAACTCTGTTTGGTGAGTGTTTTCAGAATTTAAATCTATAATATAAACATCGAAACCAATCTGCAAGGGTATACAAACTTCGGCGTGCCGAAGTTAGCTTCCTTGCTTGTTAATTATAGTTTTCTAGGATGTTATGTTCTTAACTAGTAATTTTATAATAGTAATTAATTAAGGGTTTCTTGAAAATAACTCATTAAAATAGCAGATTCCGTAAAGAGTATCGCGTTGACTCCATTCCAGCAAATAATTTTACTTTATAGCATCACTCAATTGCTTTAGTAATTACACAGAAAATATGATTTCATAACCTCTAGTATATTAATAGCATGCAAGTGCCTTTTGTCAAACTTTCTAAAACAATTCAAGCTCAATTTTTTTAAAGTATTATTAGATCAGAGTCTGTGTATAACTGACCTAGTCCAAGGCGAGCTGGTCACGCGCTACAAATCTATTCTGTGCATCCACATCTCTCATCCACTCCACGCTGAGGCTGTGAACTGGGATTCGTTGAACTTGCCGGCGTAATCTCGAGTCGCCGCGCCGATAACCTCCGCCTCCGCTGCAACGGCGGCAGCTGATCGTTGACTCCGCCGGCGGATGTTTTCGTAGCTAGTTCAGTTTGTGCATTGTCCGCAGTTAGATGGGTTTTCCGTACAGGATTTTACTAAGCCTTTTGCTGCTCAGCAGCCAGGTGAGATGGTTCCAGTACCAGAAGTATACTCATTGCAAAGAGAAACTCGAACTTCTTCCAGGCCTTAGCTGATCTCGCCAGCGATGCCCAAATGCTGGAGAAGTGCCTGCGGGAGCTGAGCACTAAGGATACCATTTCCGGCGACCTGCAGAAGCTGGAAAGGTATCACTTGTGGACGAGCGAGGAGCTGCCCTGTCTGATGCGGTGCTTGGCCAGTGAAAAGAGCTGGTTCGACATCGAGGCAAACCAGTGGAAGCTTAAGCGGATCGCCGAGGACCTGGGACCCGACGTCTACAATTATTGCCGCTTTGAATTGCGGCGCCAGGCCAGTGATGGCTGCACCTTTGCCTACCGTGGATTTCGGTGTCTCAAGCAGGCGGAGCTCCATGCCGGCACCAGCCTAAGCACCCTGCTTCTGTGTGGCCGCCAACTAAACGCCACCAATGTGGAGCTGCTGCAGTACAGCAAGCTTAAGTCCGAGGAGCCGATTCCGTGCCTCTTTCAGTGCTTCGCCGACGCCATGGGTTTGTACAATCTGACGACTGGAGACTGGAGACTGTCCAACTGGCAGCAGGCCTTTGGGCCAACGCGAAACGGTGACCAGCCCAATGCTCCGGGCTTCAGTGGCTGCCGGCTAAGTCAGACGCAGCGCGAGCAGGCGGCCAACAAGTGTGCATGGATGTACCAGGAGTACAAGTGCTGGGAGCGAATCAACGGTCATGATCTAGTGCCACAAGGCCAGGATGCTTCCTGATCTGTATTAATTATTAGACGTCACTAAGCCATATCTAGAAGATAAAATATCCTGAAACACAGAAGTGATTACTCTACCACAGGTCTTACTTTGAAGAACAAAAACTTTACTTATTTTAAGTTGTATTTGACATTATTTATTCAAATTTCGTGTATATATTTTTGTTGTTTGCTCAAATGGCCAAAACGTAGCAGGTGAACTGTTGGTAATAGGTGGCACATGGATTGCGACCCCTGCGCTGGTGGCAGGCACCGTAGCGAGCTCCCTTGGCCGGAACGCCCAGCTTCTGTTGCATGGCCGGGATGCGCCAGCGGCGTAGCTTCTGGTCAAAGACACCCAGCTTATCCAAGAAGCAGCGCGTGTAGCAGGGTATTGGCTCTACGACGGGAAAGCTGGCAAAAGCTGCAAAGCTACTCCACTCGTCCTGGTCCACCACCTGCAGGCAGTCCTTCATGGCGTCTTTGGCCACCTTCGTCAAGTTTGGCATGCTCTCGATCACCATGAAGGGGTGGCCTTCCATCTAAAGAAGTGTCAGATTTAAGTTGAATAATTTTTGAAAATATAATATAAATTAAATTAAATTAACGATTTTCTTAAATCCCTCATATTTGGCATCTCTGAGGTCACTGGACTCTACTTATCGCTGACTACTCACTTTGGTCAGGCAATGGAAACCCGCATAGGCATGCGTGCAACTGCTGTGGCCAGATCCCTCGGGCAGCTCCAACTTCTTCCGGCAGGCCGCATAAATGGGGGCTCCAAAAACCCTCTCGACGCCGGCGCTATCGAAGCCCGTCTGGTTGTTGTAGAAGTCGAACATCTCACTCAGGTAGCACTGGGTGAAGCAGGGAATTTCCTCGTAGCTCTCCGACCACTCCTTAAAACGCTCCAGCCGCTCGCCAAGCTCCGGAGTCAGTCCTCCGTAGCTCTGAATGCACTTGTTGATGATCTCGCCCTCGTGATCCAGCAGAGCCAGGCTCTCCATCTATGAAATATACTGAAGTTGGTAACAATTCTCCTTTAAAAATTTCATTTTTCACCCACCACAGAGAGCCAAAGGCATATGGCTACCAGCAATCCACTTCTTATTTGCATGGCTGGGCAATAATTTCTATTTTTCTAGCAGTTTGCTAGTACACGTTCTGCGCTTAATTAAATACTGAAGCTCTGGCGAAAATATCATCAACCACCTCGCAATCTTTAGAGATTAGACACGGAAATAAAGCAAAATACAATACAATAATACAAATCGTCCAAGCTGATGTAATTGATTTAAAATGTTTGATTTGACTCTTATAATATATGTACTTACTCAAAAATATACTTTTTGTATTATGTATGTATATAAATAATTGAATTTGCTGACTGCAAAACTTTGTAAATATTATCAACTATTTGTTTTGCAAATACATTATCTTACAATTACCAAAATTAAGAAATAAAAAACTCAGAAAACAGATTTTTTTTTCAGTGTGATGCTATGCTACACTATGTAATTGATAACCCAATTTTCGGTTAACTCAAGTTCAAACCGTGAATGCCGAATCGGCAGCTGATAACACGCCCTAATCACGGCTCCCGGTTCAAGTTTTCGGCCTCGCTTGCGCAAAAGAACCTCAAAGGCGGCAATCGATTGCGCAACGATTGCGGATCGCAGATCGCTGATCACGGATCGCCGGCGATGGGCCCGCTGCCCAGTTGCATTTTTATTGATCAACACCTGCCAACGGGGCCACAACGGCAGTTACTGGAACCGTGCTGCCATCGAATGCTGTTAATTGATTTTGTGTTTTTGTTTTGGCATTTTGCCCGGCCACTTGTCGGGCTCTTAATAATGTCTTTTCTGCTCGGCCGGGGCTTGTAAAGGAGCGACATCGTCGTCCCACTTTACGCATTTTTGAGCAACGAGCAACCGGATTCGGGTTTTCGGAATCGCGCACCACCACTGGCCAAAACATGTTTAACAAAACACGTCGCATCATCGTCCACATCATCCCGGGCCGATGAAGATCTCTTCATCGTCGCAATTGCAAGTGGGCAAGACAGCAAATAACTCCAAAGTGGTTCTGCCGGATCGGCCAAACAGTCAACAAAAACAACTGATGCGGCTTCCACTTCCACGAATCCCAGTCACTCAAAAAAAAAAAAAAACATTCTTTGAATTGAAAACTAATTTACATTTTATTTTGTAAACAATTCTGCGAAAGACACACTTTTAGAAATTGTAAAAATATTTAGTCACTATTTCTAAGATTTCGTGACGCAGATTTAATTTTATTTTTATATTATTCTGTTTGACTTTTAGGAATAAATCAATTTTACTTATTCTAGTTTCCGTGTAATACAAGTATTCAACTATTGCATCCTTTCTAATTTTGCAGATAAAAATGGTTAATTATCTGCATTTAAAAACTTGAATTACAAATGTGTATCTATGACATCTTTTTAGGTATAAATTAAATATTTTTTATTGTTTTTCTTTGAAGATTTTAAATTAATTTAAGTTAAAATAGACTTGGGTTTTTTCTTTACAAATAAAGTTTTGTTTCTGTGCACGTTTCCCTCACAATTTCTTCGCAATGACCTTGGCTCGTTTTCTTGCGTGTTTGGCCGTAAAAATTATAAATCCAGTTTTCGATTTCCTCTCTTCTTTCACTCTCGCACAGTCACAATCTGAACAAATTTTCGTTATATAGTTAATTGTTTTGCCCCGCCGCCAGTTGTTGCCAAACGGCTTTCGGTGGGGCAACCGCGATGACAACGATGACGACACAGCAGCCCAGCCAGCACCACCGACGCGGCCGATGCAGCTATAGTGCAGGAGGAATCAGCACAGACAGGCGGTAAACTGGACTGTCCGGACTGGACCGTAAAAAGATGCGATGCAGCGGGGCCTGACCTTTGGCAATTTGAAATGCAGCCGCCTGCAACTTTGGCAACACCGCGTTTCTGGCCGGGACGGGGCGATTTCAAAACGATCCCAGAGCCAGTCTCGGGTGCTTAGCATTTTCATTGAGACCGGCTCAGCATAGATTTGAATACATTTCGGCAGGGCTGCGACCTGTCGCATTAATTTCTTTCCTCCCGCCGAAGTCCGCTGAATTTATTGAGAAGCTGGAATTTAAAAGCGTTTCTTTTGTGCGAGTTTTCAAGGTTATAACCCAGTTTTTGCCAGGGTGCGTTCGTACGTTTCGCGTTGGCTTCTTTTTTTTTTTAGCAACAGTGTTTTATGGTGAGAAAGAGACTCGTAGCTCGGCCGGGCCTGGACGGAAACTGAGACGAAAATCGAATCCGATCCGATTCGATTCGTGTTCAATGCATTAACTAGCCTTTTGATAAAAGCAGGCAGATGCTCGGACCGATAACAATGAGCGCGTGTCCTTGGCTCAGTTGGGAACCGAACTTGCCACTAAATGCAGGCCAGCTGCGTTTAATGACATTTACAAATTGGGCCTGGCAAATATAATTAAAAATACATCAACTTATTGCGGCGAGGGTTGTGCAATTTTTGGCACATTTGCCATGCAAATCAAAGCTCCACTTAACGGGGTTGCTTCTGCTTCAGTTGTTTCGAGGGCTTGCCTTTTCGGCTTTTCGAGGGAGGTGCCCGTGAAATGGCCATAATTAAAAATACATCTAGGCGGCATGTGGATTTTATGTGTGTCCAAATCCAGCAGCTGGACCGAAAAGCCATATCGAACCGAAAACGAAAGTAAGTTGCACGGAGAAGAATATTTCCAAGTCACTTTTCAGATGGTTTAATGATACTTTGCTATGAAGGTTGAAAAACAATGAAAGGCAAGTGTAGAGTAGTATATTGACATCTGGAAATTCATCTGGAATCCAACTTAGAGATTATATAATACGAATTTTAGTTTCATCTCCTCACGCCCGCAGATGAAATAATAGTAATTTTTGTATATTATAATAATTTGTATTTTCTAAATTTTGTATCTATTCCAACTCATTTGCATTAAGTTCAACATTTTTTAACATTCTTCGATCAGCATCACAGAGTTCCCCCTTTTTTTCTCTCTGTGGTGAAACATTGAAGAAGTCAACAACCTGTGCGTGATTGTTGCCTTCAATTTGGTGCAAAACATCCAACTCATTAACTCGGCATCTTGGCTAGGTGGGAATTAATTATGCAGATTTATTCATTGTGTTGCGATTTCAAGTGTGGTAAAATGCAGCCCGCCTAATGAAGGTGTGTGTGCTGCTGCCAATGACGATGGGATGGTATTGATGGGATTCGGGTTTTGGGCTCTTGGTGTTTTGTGTTTGCCTTTTGAGTTTGGGCGGTGGCTGTGCCCAATTTTGGAACACCCAAAATGCTCTCCAACTCCTCAAGCGGCTGTCGGATTTTGGATCTTACAAATTAATCTCCGGAGCAATCTCCCTGGCTTCCGCCCTGCGAGATACATTAGCTTTGGAAGCAAGCACTTTTCAACGGATTTTGAAAGTAAATTTCACTGATCATTGACCTCGGACTGTGGTTGCGTGTAATCGGTTGAGACCGAGGCCTGCCACTTGGGGATTACATAAATCCCAAATTAGTTAATAAATGAAAACTGTAAACTGTGAAATGAGAAATAAGAAATGCTATTGTTCAATATATTGAAATCATGCCGTTACGTTCGAATAAAACGCTTGGCCGCTGCACTCGCCGCTGCAGTTTTCCACTGACCCGGGCCATTTCGGTTGCCGTATTTTCGGGCCCCTCGGGGTTGGCCAACGGAATTGGCTTATGTAAAAAATATTGCCATCAGCTGCCATAAAGTGACATAAAAATTAACGGAAGACAAGGTGAGCGAACACACACTTCAAAACAATTGTCGAGCCTGCGGAGTTGGGTTAGGGCTTGACGGACGATTATATTGTTGCTAAAAACGATAAATGAAGATGTGTTTAGGAGTGTACAGTTGAGGTCACCAACTAACACTGAATATAAATAATTATAAAGTAATACTTATTTCAAATTAGCTGCATAAATGTAAATGTTTTAAATTACAATAAGACGGTCCTATTTTTAAGTGGTTTTCACTGTCCCACATGTTAATTATAAGTATTTTCCATTTATTTATATTTCCCACAGCTTAAGTGATAATCACATATGTGAATTTGTCCTAGCCTCGGGGCATAGGCATAGCCTAGACCTTGCCCAGAGGCCTAGTATCTAGCTTATTTGCATGTAACCTTAGATAGCTTTATTGATTCTAGATATAGAGTGACAACTAGCCTCCCATTGTAATTAACGGCCTGACTTTCCACCACACCCACCGAACTAGGTCGAACGGAGCTGCAGTTGAGCAAGGCGGCGTTGCATATACAAATAGGCATAATTAAATGGAAACCGTTCTAACGGACTGTGTGTGAATCGAAAGATTCCAGTCACGAACGCGACTCGCCGACAAATTACCAATGCACTTGCCAAATGCCCGAGAACCCGATTGGCCGGGCCAAATAAGCCAAACTAAAAGATAACCCCCCCGATCGCAGACTGCCCTGTCTGACTGTGTGTGTGTGTGTGCGAAGGCGAGTATCTGTGAGTGCTCGTATCTGTGCGATGCATGCACTTAACACGTGTGGTTGCGCGGGGGAGGGGGAAGGGGAGGGGGTGTCGTTCAGGCCAAACAACTTTTCTTCCGCGTTGCACATGCGATGGCGATGGTGATGGTGATGGCGTTTGCAGACTGGCGACTGTAGACTGCAGCCGCACCCACCCACAAATGGCCTGCTAAAATCAACAATTAAAAGCACCGCTCACAATCTCCCGGCGATCTGATGCAATTTTGCATTTTCGAAATATCTTTTTAATTTCGCGCTCGCAAATTACTATGATAGTCTAAGCTGGACAGAAGAATTCGAAACTGCTCCGACATAATTTGGCATTCGGGTTGATGGCCACGCCCCGTTGCACTCCCCCCCAGAAATGCCCAACACAAATTCAGCTGGCAGTAGAACCCGTTTCTCGACCCCAAAAGAACCGGGAAAATCTGGGCTTTGGCTCCTGAAACAAAAGCCAAATACCTAACTGGCCTATGAGTAACTACTGAAAGCGAAAGCATAGCTGACAAGGTAGCTCGGTTGCAGTTTATCCAGTAGTTGCCGCGGCTGCTGTTGCTTTTGCACTTCTAAAACTGGTTCGCCGTCTGGACATGTAGGCAGCAGTCGCAAGTCTTCTAGCCTCCACTTCAATAACACACAGCCAACTCTGGCAACACGGATCAACTGTGCTCAGAGCCGAACTCAACTGAACTCGAGCCCAGCACGGAAAGAAAAAAGGAGACACCGCCTGGCAACATGGTGAAATCTTATAGATACTTTTGAAATAAATAAAATATACATCTTAAAATTTATTTAAGCTTGATAAATATTTGCTACGAAACCTATGAATAATTATTATGATATCTACAGGATAATTTTAGTCTTCCCTTAACTTAATATGTATACAAAAACTCTCCCTCGACTGTCCTTTAACAAAATCCCCTTTGTGACTGGTATCAGATTTCTTGTGTTACTTTCTGGGCTTGGCTTTCCTCTCAGTGCACTGGGTTCGACTTTTCATCAGAGCCAGCTGTAATTGTTCTGCAGCAGTCGCTGACTGTAATTTAATATTCTTCCTGCATTCCGAAACCTTGAATCACATTTCTTGCATTTAATTGCAGACATTTTTTTCTGATTTCTCCCCTCTTCTTGCCACTCGAAGGCGCCGCTGAGTGGCTGCCGTTGACCGCCGAGCTGGGTCATTTTTAATAGCCGCTGCTGCCGCTGCCGCTGCAACTGCAACAATTACTCGAATAACTAAAAAATAAACAACAAAGAAATAGCAGTAACAGCAACTGGCTGGCCTACCTTTTACTGGCACGCACTGTATACCCGAGATGACGGCCTGTTTTAAATGCCAGCCAGTTGAGTGACTACGGGCTAAATGGCTCTCGCTGTCTGTTTACTTATTTACGCATACATTTCCATTTTGTTTTGCGGGGGATAGAGATGGGGATGGCGGCATAACTCGAGTTGCATTGCCGGCCACCGGTTGACCATCGCATTAGGAAATCATGCTAATATGGTGATTATTGGTAAACAGTATTAAATCTAATGCAATTTGTTAGATAAACATCCCCTTTAAAATATATTTAATTGCATGTTTAAAGCTTAAATATTAGTTTTTAAATTTAATAAATAATTTTCCCTCTTCGAAGTGATGCCTATGCGGCGTATGCGCAATTTCCAGATCACCTAGAAAATGCCAGTCGCGTGACTCATACGCAGAGAGGTGAAGTTCAGCCATGAATCTAACTATCTTGCGGATTGCACGATGCCGTGCCCTCAGCCGTGATTAGCTGCAGATACAAATTGAATGCTAGTTGCCCACACACACACACACAGACACACACATCCCTCTGAACTTTCAGGCAAAAATTCCATTTGCACCCCCACCTTAAAAATAACACAAAATATAATAAAGAAAAGGCGAAAAATGCAAAGCGCAGGCAGCAAAAGTGTAAGGCAAAAAAAAGATCAATTGACAAATGGTTTGGGCCACAACAATAGACGCCGGCGTCGGCAGCGACGTCGACGGATACCGCGGCAGAGGCAGCTCTCTGCCGACGCCACGTCGCTGGCTGCATACGAAACCAGTCGCTGGGAGTGGGAAAAAGCTAGAGAGAGAGATGGAGAGTGAAAGAGAGCTGCTACAAAAAGCTGGCTGCTACGAACACCGTTGCAATGTCGCTGCCTCTGTCGCAGCTGCTGCCTCGGCCGCAGTCTCTGCCGCGGCCGGCGCATGGATTGTTCGCGACGCCGCGCATGCGCAGCGGTATAAAAAGCGGCAGCGCCAGCAGGCAGCCACTCACAGTCGAAGTCGTCGGTGCCAGAGGTGATTCTGCTTTCTGTTTTCTGTTTCTCAAGTGCGGTCCGTCGGTACCCCCTCAAATAATACAAAAAAAGACAACTCCTACTCGCCAAAATGAAGAAGTTTCTCGTGGTGTTCGTGGCATTATTCGGAGCCGGTATGTATCTCTTAGCTAGCTAAGTGAAATGGAAATGGAAATGGAAATGGATGTGGAAAAGTAGAGGCGTCCAGCCAGCTTTTCCGCTTGCGCAACATGAAGGACACTTGAGTGCTGAAAATTTAGAGTGCAAAATCGAGAGTGTGCTTGTGCAACGACGGGTAAATCAACTATCACTGCTCCACTTTTACCTCGTATCCAAAAACGAACTCGAAATCGAAATCGACATCGACATCGAAAACGCAAACGAAAAGCGAGACCAGAGGGAAATGTAATTTAATTGAGCAAGTCAGCCCAACCCAGGCGCATTAGCTTGCATTTTCCCAATACAAAAAGATACACTTACTATGCATGTGCATAGGCACACTCGGAAAAATAAGCTCGAATCGAGAATTAATTTGAAAACCAGGCAGGATATTTGTAATTATCTTCGTTCTTGAGGAAAATAAATATCTCTGATCAGTATTCTGTTATTATTCAAAAAGTAAAATTTTCAATTGAGAGTTTTCAAATATTGAAATTTTAAGAATTAAAAATTCTATTTTTAAGAAAAATTCCTTGGCTAGAGTTCTTCCGAAACCCAAAACCCCTACCTTGTCTCTCACTGAAATTTAGTTTTCTTTCAAAAAATGCTCAAGGGGAATGCCTGACTATAGTTGTGTGGGCTTTAATGCTTTAATGTTTTTGTTCGGTGTAATATCTGCAGCCACGAATCTCCACATCTATTGGTTTGGTGCGGTTCAGTTCGGTTCGATTTCATTACCTCATCGACGCCGCCTTAAAAGCTGGGAGAAGTTACAACAGAGACCATCGTCTGGCTCCGCTGCAGCTCGATTTTGCAATCGATCTCTGGTGTTGTAAGCGATATTTAGATCCGCGCTGCAGGTTATCTAATCCCAGTCCGGTTACGAAACTGGAGCGTTGGACTTCGCTTCGGGTTTCGTCTTTCGGTTTCAGCTGCCTTCGCAGAGGGTGTGGTCGGTCAGTAGTTATGGCCACCGAAAATTCGCAAATTGCTTGATTTCTGACATTGACATTGAAAAGCTTTTTAGATAAACACAGCCAAGATGCCTAATGGATGAGACCCAATAAAAAAATAATGGCAACTGGGCTAGGCTCAGGAATTTTAACTACGCAACAAGCACAGCCGCTCCTCAAATTAAAAACAAAACAAAAAATGAAATGAAGTCAAATTGAAACCCGTTTGCTTTTTTGGTTATTCAACTTAACAATTTTTGCAAATTGCGTGCCATGCATTTTTTTTTTTTCTTTTTGTCTGCCAAGTCGTGCATGGCCGCAAAGGCAATTTCGCTGCTAAATTTTAATTGCCGGCAATCCAAAGTTATTAAACTTAACAACGGCCCGAAACATAAACGCTTTAATGGGCCCGTTTCGATGAGAAGCCGCTCGAGCATTGTCAAGTTCAAGTTGCCATTAATTATGCAACGGCACTTGCCCATTTGAGCGCTATTCACTTGGCCGCTTGTTGCGCCTGCTCGCTGCCAAGTTTAAAGCCCGCCCAGCGGCAAGTACTTCCCCCCGTACAAGTGGGGGTCGAAAAAGTTACAAGCCCGCTAATCACGGCGATAAACAATTTAAGCGTTGCAAAGATTTCCGAAAAAGCGAGCCGCAGCACACAATAAATTTCCGCATTTTGGTTGCGTCGTGCTGTGACTTTTGTTTTGTGTTTTCTGCTATCGGAAAACTAACACCGACCGCAGCTAAAAAACAAGAATGTGGCCAAAGACATACAAAATAAATTTTGCCATTTTTCTATTGCCACACACAGACAACGCGGCAGCAAGTCACGCTTGAAAGGTTTTTATTTTGTGGCAACAAAATCAAACGAAAAGGGCCGCGCGCGGTCGACATGCAACTGCGGAGGGCTGCGGACGGATTCTATAGGTTGCATTAGGCCAACAAACACACACAGAGTTACAAGGGCTGCGGCTATCTATGCTGATTTATGGCCAACAACAAGGAGGGCCAGAATACAAGGCTTTTAAAACTCAATTTGCATGCCACTTTTGGCACGGCACGCGAAGCATTGCAAATCAATTTTTCCAAAAGCGGCAGCGACGATGCGTTAAATTTGAAGGAATCATATCTATTCAGCGGCTAAGTCGCCTGCTTGGGCTAAAAGGATTTATGGTTCAGTCTGCGACAGCACGAAACTATTACTCTGCAGCAGGACTTTACACTGTGGGTAATATTGGGTTCAATAAAAAGAGTTTTTTTTACTAAATTCAATATCCCATATGAGGTATTTAAATTACTTTTAAGGGAATGCTAATAAAATTAAATACAATGCAAAAATATAGTTTCCTTTCCACACTGCCCACTCAACAACTATCGAGAAATGGGCAAACAATAGACAAAACAATTCGAACGCAGATTAACCCACATACGGGACATGCCGGCAACAATGTGGGCAAATATTTAAATATCATTACGGTGTTGTCGGCGCTGAGGCGGTGGTGAACCGTATGCAAAAACAGTTTTTGGGAGAAGGCAACAGCATTTAGCGGAAATGCTCGAGTGCTGTTGTTGCCGGGTAAATACCAAACGGGCCGAAGGCTCCACAACAAAACGTGCTTAAATGTCAGCAATTTTCTTGATTTATACGGCGGCAATGTCTTGGCGCTGTCTTGCCAGACAACAGTGCAAACAGCGATAAAAATAACACCACAGAGCCGCCGCCAGTTACGGGGCAGCAAATTTGCCTCAGCCACAGCCACAGCCAAATGATAGATACACACTTGTGCTGCCACGGGTGCCGCAAAAAGAGGCAACCTGTGATTGCAACCACAGGAGCTAGAAGCGATTATGAGTCCAGACAGGAGTCCTTCCCAATGCCCCATAGATTTGTTTGCTGGCATGCCAAATGCTAATGCCCGGGTTCATTGCTCTGATACTCGTATTTATGGGCTGACAGCCCAGTTGGCCGGCATGCAATGCGAATTTGTCATCATTTGTCATGATATCCTCGCAGCAAGGCGACGCGTTCAAGTCCCCAGAACGCAGATACAGGAGCTGTGGCTAAAAATATATATTCATAAGCTGATATCTGATGGAAAACCTACAGCCAAAATGATCATGTTAAGGGATAAGACATACTTCGCGTTGGTTTTCTGCAAACCTATTGTCCACGAATCGTTCGCATCTAATTACAGAATATGGCAATGAATTATTGACAACGCATACAAGTATATGAACAAATTGCAAATTTGCTAACGCATTCATTTGTTAATTTTAAATTATGAATTTATTTGCATTACCGTGTATTTGCATCTTGACAGTGTCTGTCATTTAAGTGAAACATAAATTAATTTCATTATACCGAGTTTTTTTTTGCCCCGCTCGCGCCGAGAGCCGCTTAATAAAGTTTGTAATTTGTGTGTTGTGTACATTTTTGGTTAATTAAATGATTATGTTAATGGACGAGCGGATGTACAAATGATAAACAGCAGCAGCCGGGGGTCAGCCGCTGCCAATGGTGTGCAATCAACCAACGGGACCAACGCAAATGTCGGCTTTACTGTTAAAATGTCAATAAAAATGTATTATTTAAATGCGTATAAACACATAACACACTCACCATTCACGGACACCCGATCGCATTGTTGTTTTGCGCCAAAGGAGCAAAAAAATGTAATTAAGCGCACCGGGCTGATAGATAAAACAATTATGGCCAAACAGTAAATTAAATAACATGCAACACCAGGCAATCAGTCTAACTGGCTTATAAATAATGCGCTGGCTCACGTGGCGACTGCCGGCCGGGGGCTTATATCCATACGTACTCCATATTGCATTGGCATGCCGGTCAAACTATTCATTTCCAAGGTGTGCCGCTCGGCACCGTCGAGAACAAAAGACAGCCGGATTGCCAGACTTCAGAGAGGGTTAGTTGTTGGTCTAGAATCTGGCCCGGCCCGGCCCAACCGGTTTCGGTCGAGAATGTGGGCTAGCCTGGCTTTTTGCTTTCATTTTCGTTTGGCCCGCTAGCTTCTGGTGGGTTCTCTGGTCTTGCGGTTTGTCGAAGGTAATTTAGACGTTATGTCATGTCGGCAGAATCTCGGCTCTCGTTAGATAATAGCTAGAAGCTGCGCGTGATATGGTTAGATGTTGTCTTTTCCACTTAAATTCGCAGCGACTGCTTTGTCCCGATTCCTGGACTGGCTTTAATGAGTCAGTCTCTTTGATCGTAAAATTTAAAATGAAATTCAAAGACCAGGATATGGCGCTTAATTTATGAAGTAATTGTGAACCGAAGATTGCTATTTAAAGAGTTTCTGTGAAGGTAAAGCTCAAAATCTATTTGATTTAAATTGGCGATAGTTCCGTACTCGCTTACTTGCCTTAAGGAAATATTGCGCATACGCACGGTGCGCCAGGTGCCTAAGTAATTGCTTAGAAAACATGTGGCGACGCAAACAAACACACACACACAGCCCTAAGTGCACAATCATCGCCAGTGTGTGAGTGTGTTTACGAAGGCATTAGGACTGCGGTTCATTCCTGTGGTTGCTGCAGGCAACAATGCCAGATTGCACTTTTTCCGCACAGTTGCAGGTGCAACGGTGCCTCCCGTGAATGCTCGCTGGCTAAGTGCTCGGGAATGGCCGTCCTCGAATCATGAAATTCCCGGCTAATTGATGTCGCAGCCTAATCTCACAAGATCCCCAATAATAGCCATAAATTAGAGATCGTGGCATCTTAAAAGTATAACAAATACGCCAGCTGCGCTTATAAATTCAGATTTAAATTGAAGCTGCTATCGAAACTCGAACTGCGTAATTAACGAAATTACAATAAACAAATGCGAGGCGTAGAACGCAGAACGAATCAACATCAATATTTCTCTTTTTTATTGACGCTTCGGAACTGGCTAAATGACTGACTAAGCCAACCATACATGTGTGTTCGATGATACTGCGTTTATTCGGTAAAAGTAAATACGCAGCGAAAATAACCATTTTTAATTAAGACCCACGCATATAATTTTATGGATGCCACCGTTTTGATTTATTCGACGCTATAGCAACAGCACAAATGTGTCTAAAATTTGATATTTGATTAGTTTACATACACAAAATCGAATGGAAATTGCATGTTGTTTATGCAGGCCAGCGAATCGGTTGCTGATTTTTCCATGTTTCACTCCCGCTTACTTTTTTCATTCAATTGTTGCATTCATGCGGTTACCCAGGGCTCTTTTTGGCCCAGTGCCCATCGCCCATCGCCTGGCACCGTGGGTGGCGCAGGACTGAGTCCACAGCTTAGGCAATTGATGCGCACTTTTGATTGAACATTGAACATTGGAAATGAAACGCGACCGCAACTCTGTGGCTTCGCAATTAGATTATCACACATGGCCCACTCACCGGAAAGGGGATATTTTGTTCATTTCGCGAGGAATTCTTTTCAATGCCAGTCTCCGCGCGGGTAATTATTTTCTGACTGTTGCCGTTTGATTTTCCATGCCGTATATAAGTGTATATATGGTATATAGAAAATGCAGAAAATGCAATTCGGTGCCGGTGCAAATACCGCATTAGTTAGTTGTACAAATGCAATTTAGTTCGTTACGCTCTGCGGTTGCACTGAGCTCAGCTTCCACAGAGACAAACATATAGAGTGATGCGACGAGGTGCCACGGGGACGGGGATAAGTCCTTGGTGGCGGGTTTCAGGTGCTGCGACAGCAGGGTTCAGTGTAATTTCTTACCCGAAAAACGGGCCAGAGAAGAGCGGCGCACGAAACAAAAGTAAATGCAGTTGGCCCTGAGTTGTCAGCGATCCGTGTGTGTGCCTGCGATGCTGAAAGTTGCCTTCGAGATTTATTGGCAACCGTCGTCTCTCTGTCAGACATCTGACTTTTTAAAGTGAATGCCTCTCGGGCCAGATGACAAATGGCCCTGCCCAGGCCATCGTCATCATCGTCGTCCTCGGCTCGCCTTGCCGTCATAATGATAATAAGCAGCATCTTGGCTACGTGTGTATCTGCATCTGCTTGGCTTGAACAGTTGCTGGGATTCCTCATCTCATCTATGAGTTCTTCTTTGTGTGCGACTTTTTCGGGTTCATTTGTAGTCGTCCACCGGTCTGGAGGACAAGCACAAATGGAAAGCCACGTTGCTAGCTAGTCTACACGTAGAAAAACAGCATTGTGAAGGGAATTTTTTGAATGGAAAACCTCCTTTCTCAACATGTGATGTAGTCTGGTTTAATGCTGCAAGCGGAAAACGAAAAGCTGATCATATTTTCCACTAAACCTAATAGTTTATAATATTAATTCCTCCTTTCTCATTGCAGCTGTGGCCCAAAGTAGCTTTAAATGCCCCGATGACTTCGGGTTCTATCCCCACGATACGTCGTGCGACAAATACTGGAAGTGTGACAACGGCGTCTCCGATCTGAAGACCTGCGGCAATGGCCTGGCCTTCGATGCCACAGACTCGAAATACCTTACCGAGAACTGCGACTATCTGCACAACGTCGACTGCGGTGATCGCACAGAGCTGGGTGAGTTAGACAATTGAAATCTCAAGAGGAAAGCACCTAAAATGGTACCATTCGCATCCACAGAGCCCCCAATCACCACTCCCCACTGCTCCCGCCTGTACGGCATCTTCCCCGACGAGAACAAGTGTGACGTGTTCTGGAACTGCTGGAATGGCGAGCCCTCCAGATACCAGTGCTCCCCCGGACTGGCCTACGATCGTGATGCTCGCGTGTGCATGTGGGCTGACCAGGTGCCCGAGTGCAAGAACGAAGGTGGGTCAAGGAAACTCTAGGGTGTAACTAACAGCATAACTGACTCTTAAACCCCGTTATTGCAGAGGTGGCCAATGGATTCTCCTGCCCTGCGGCCGGTGAGCTGGCCAACGCCGGTTCCTTCTCGCGTCACGCCCACCCTGAGGACTGCCGCAAATACTACATCTGCCTGGAGGGCGTGGCCCGCGAGTACGGATGCCCCATCGGCACTGTGTTCAAGATTGGTGACAGTGACGGCACTGGCAACTGCGAGGATCCCGAGGATGTTCCCGGATGGTAAGTGCTTTCACTTTATTTTGTTGCTTTTTTAAAGGATATCTTCGAGGCTGGCACCTGGTTTGATTGTTGTCTTGCTTTGCACTCAGAAAATACCATTGCTCAGGGTTTGACAGGAACAGTTACGATTTCTTCTTTAAATTATTCTGAAATTTGGATTTGGGGAAATATTATTTAAATATTATGAAGAATAAAGGAGGGCACTAGCTAGGAGTTGGCTTTTTAGCATCATAACGTTAAATATAAAATGAATTAAATAAAATGTTTGATTAAAATCTATTTGATCTTAGTTGTTGCTTCTAAAATGTAAGCCTTACTCTTGTCTTAGATGTATTTCTGTTGCAAATTTATTTTTGAATTCTAAATTTAGTTTGTAATTAAGTTCAGGGGTTATTGCCACGCTTGCACCTCTCCGCACCCATCATCTCACTCCTCACCCTCTTTGCTTTCACTGTCCACTGTCCACTGTTCACTCAACTCAAGTCAACTCTACTGAACAGATCGCATATCACATATCTCACATTATCCATATCTCAGGCCTATTCTGACATATCTCTTTACCTTGGTCCCATTTACAATTACAGCGAAGACTACTACGGCGATCTGGATTTGAAGAGCATCCGCAAGAGCGAGCTTCTAGCTGGATTGAACAGTGAAGGCCGCACTAAGGGCGCGCCCAAAACCAAAGCTGCCTCCTCCTCCTCCTCATAAACATAATAATTACAACTACAACTACAACTACAACAACAACCTACAACTTTAACAACAATAACTAAAGAACAACAACAACAACAATACAACAAGATCAATCAACTCAGAACCCTACTTCCCATCCTGCCAATACTTTCCCTCACATCACAAAAAGAAAAGAAGAACAAATGAAAAACAAAACAAGAAAAATGAGAGAATACTCAGCCAGCCACAAATCCTAATTCGAATTCGCATAAAAAACTCTTTTCCTGCCATTCTTCTCAGTTGACCTCTGTGTTTCTAATTTATAAATCTCCCTCTTTCGTCTTTCACCTGAGTGAAACTATTGCTCTGTCTCTTCATGTTTCTTTTTTCATTAAATGTTGAGCAAACAAATTTAAAGACATCCAAATTGCCCTGAAAAATTTAGGCTCGAAGGCAAAGACACAAAATTTTGTAAAGGAAAATAAAGAAGAACGTCGAGGAAAGAAGCGGAAAGCGTTCAAAATGAAGCGTAAAATTTAGAGATTTGTACATTTTAAGTGATCCTTGTTTATAAGCTTATAATTTTATTTTATACATAAAAACGAAAAACAAAAAAATATATTAAAAAACAAAAACAACATTGATCAGCTCTATGTGTGTCACATTTCTTTTACCACCCATTTAACTTTTCATTTCCGCTCAACTTTTTCCATCTTAAAGTGCGCGGGCTGCGTCGCAGTTTGAAAAGTTTTGAGGGAAATAGATTTTTTTCCGTAAATTACTGTACAAGTGTGTGTGATATTTTTTCTTCATCAGCGAAAAATGGCTGACTTGTCGTTAGAGTCTGTAAATAATAAGTAAACATGAAAGTTTGCGGCGCCAGCCATATTTGCCGCAAATGAAAAGTTGGCTGGCATTTCGGAACGACCAGGAAGTCTTTGCCGACGTCTTTTCAAATGCACAAGAACTTTGTTAATTATTCATTAGATTCTATAAACAAAAACGCGATACAAAAACTTTAAATGAATTTTCAAATTATCAACACAATTGCAGGCAGAACGGGCGGCACACTCACACATTTACCAAAGAGGGAAAAGGGAAATGGGAAAGCGAACAGGGAAAGGGGGAAATCGTGGGGCAGTGGCACCTCGACAAGGTCCCCCCAGTTTTAGGGCTTGAATTCGGGTGGGGCTTCACTTTGTCCCCACTAACTCATAAAAGCTGGAAACTTTAACTTTTGCTGCTTTATGCGAGTGTCTCTCTCTCGTCTGTGTGGGTGGGCACAGAGAAAAATAAATAAATAAATTAGGAATAAATAGTTCAAAAGAAGTTTTATTGCTAGTAACTAAATAATTTTTACACAATTCACCCTAAATTCTGGTATATTTCCCTCTGCTACTCCCTGGAATCTTCTTCTTAAGTAATACTTTTCTCAGTGCATGCGGATCCACTGCCTGTGTGCATTTATGGCTCACACACAAACACTGGAAAAAAGTTTTAAAACTAATTAAATAAAAATTATAAAACTATACAAACTCAAGGCACAAGTTCTCGCTGCTTTCGGGGCGGCTAAAGGACATTGCCAGCCCTCTCGAGTAAGCGTTCCTGTGTGTCGCATAAGCTCTTTTTGGCATAGAAAAGCCGCGTAAAGAGCTCTCGGAATTTTTGGGCAAATATGAACATAAAGTCGCCTGCATCCATTCAGTTTTGATGTTGCTTTTGGCTCAGCTCTTAATGCCTCCCGCTAACGTTATCCTTGCTCCTCTCTTTGGACTAGGGACCACACACTAACCACCGGATGTCATCTTTTACTTTAATATATTTTGAAATACTCTTTGCCCGCCTTTGTTGTTGCTGCTGGCTGCCACTTAAGTGCACCAAGTAAGCAATCTTCAATTAAAACTTGCCCTGACCCTGCCCATTAGAGTCCTTTGGCTCGCCGTGTGTCCTGCTTATGCTGCTGCCAGCTGAGGTTAGTTGCAAAAAAACGCAAGAACGCAATGCACATAAAAGTGTTTTATAAACAAAAATGATTTTCACTCTGACAAAGTTGCACCGACAACTAAGGCACTTAAAAAAACCTACAACAACTAATATATATTAACTAGTTTGTTTATAAATAATCTGGCGACCAAGAAGAAAAAAAGATTTATTTTCATGGCCATAAAGATTTAATTTTCAGCTACCAACTTATTAGAAATTGTAACCTTAAGGGAGCAGGGCTGGTTTTATTCTCCGTGCAGCAGTGTCTGGGCAACCATAGCTGAGTAACTGAATGTAACTCTTGACGGATAATAGCCGGACTCTGTGTCTGTCCGCCTGGCAATGAAATCCTTTTAACATTTGGACTCTAATTAATTTTAATGATGATATAAACGCACAGGCAGAACATAAAACTAGGGGGCAGGTTAGCTGGCTGCGACTGCGAAAAGTTATGAGCCAGCCACTGCTTGTCAATATATATAAATATATATACGTATACAACAGCAGAGAGTCGAGGGCTCTGGCTTAACTTGGCCAAGAAAGTCCCGAATAAAATAGAAACGTAAATAAAAGAAAAACAATTTTGGACCACTAAACAAGAGCCATATTTTGCAGCTTACACCCTCCGCGCTGTCATGATCCGCGTCTTCATCAGGGGCGGCGACTAAGCCGCAACATTTATGGTGCTGACTTCTCAACAAGGACCCAGTGCTGTCCTTGGTTTTTGGTCAATTCCATTTAATTTAATTTAATAGCCTTGCGCTTTTTGTCATTCGCTGCCCAGATCCGCACACACAGCGCGCATTTTATATGAAGCTAAGTTCGAGTGCACTCGAAAAAATAAAAATGGATCTAAAATAAATAAATTAAATCACTTAAATTTTAAAATAGTATCCAAAGATTGGAACATCTTTTAATTGAAAAAAAAAAAATCGTAAGAATAGTTATTCAGTTTAGTAATTGTGTATGGCTTATCTTCAAGTGTGGCTGTTGGAAGAGGGCAAAAGGACATGCATGTCCTGGCAGCAAGAGGCACGCCACGTCTCCTCGCATCGCACTCGTCCTTGTTTCCTGCGCTTTAAAGGCAATTTGTTGTTCGCTGATAATGTTGTTATTGCGGCCAGAAGGCAGCCGAACCAGCTAGCGTCTTTTAATCCTTGACGTCCTGTTGCTTTGCTCGCTCTTTCCTCTTTGCTATTTCGTTTTATCTGGCCAGGCCACAAATCCTTGCGTGTGGGGTGAGCTGCCCCTCGCGTCCACGGGACTCGTAACAAGATTTTAACAATATTATTTTTAATTACGGTTTTAATAAATATTTCCTTTGTCAATTTTCAACACAAACCGACGGGCTCAAGCAAAAACCAGGAAAAATATGAACAGAAACCCGGGGCAGAATGAAACAGAAGTTGAACTCGAAAAAAAATAAATAAAATTCCTTTGAGTTACCTAATCAAATTCTGTTGACTTGTTAACCATGTATATGCATACATCGCATAAATTACTCAGCGCGTGACTGGCAAGACACAAAACAATTTAATTAAACAAATCAGAGCCGGGCCAAGGAAACCCCTAAAAACCAAATTTCTCCTTTTGAATGTTATTTAACAAGGAATTTTTTATTTACTTAATACTTCCCGTTTCTCCTTTTTACAGCGAGGATTACTATGGCGATGTAGACCTGAAAGCTTTAAAAAAATTGGGCTATTAAAAGAACAGCACACACACACACAGACACTAACATTACGGCAGTTTGGGGGCTGAAAGTCAAGAAGAAGAGAGAGGCGACAAAAGGAGCCAAAGGATGGAGAAGGATCAGGAGGAAACCACAATAACAGTGGGCTTAAAATACTTGCCAAGCACATACATACACCGACACACAACACCACTGAGAGAAAAATTGCAGAACTAAATGCCTGATTTCAAACAATTTCACACGATTGACTCTTAAGACAGGCTTGAATTATAGATAAGCTTTTAAGCAGCAAGTATTTATATTTTTGATCTATTGTACAAATTTAAATGACTTAATCTGGAACCTAAATGTCAGAGAGTCAAAAGGAGACAGCGTTATTTTCAGTGTATCACAGGCATTGAGCATAAAAAACCTAGAAATCGTACAGTTTACTTTAAAGACTGAGCACAGAATAACCCCCGAAAAATAGCCCAGTGAGAAAATAGTCGCAGGTGGACCCCACATCTTTATGTCGAAGTCCGGACTTGAGATTATCTCAGAATCGATACCGAGATACGTTTTCTGAGGCGACAGGCGGCGTGGCCGCTTATTCCATGGCCACCACAGTGGCCGCAAAAGTCAAATTTAACTTATTTAACTAAATACTCAAGAAACCACAAACGTACGCGCCCCCACTCTCGTATAACTTCAATGTACATATCTAGATTCAGTTTAGACTTTAAGTTAACGTTTATGTAAATGCGAAATAAAATGAAAATTTTTGTTCAAACCAAAAGCGAACTCTCAGAGCTATTCTGCAAATATTATTCCCCCCTTTGAAATGCCAATCCAGCCAACGACTTTCCTTTATTTATTGCATTGCACTTGCCCCCGGCCTGCACATATATTTTAATCAGCTGAGTAGAGCTTGGATTTTTCATTTGGCACTTTCCCAAAGCCAGCTCTCTGGGCCACAATTTACTAGGCAAACCGCAAGACACAACACGCATACGCACTGTTTGCCAGGCGAATAGCAGCTGAATGCCTTAAACCAAAAAACAAGTAAGTAAACAAAGGCGCACAAAATATCCAAACTCTCTCGCAAAATTGATAATTATTGGAGACCCGACTCGGAGCAGCAGCAGGCAGCCAGCCAGTCAGCCTTCCAGCCAGCAGGAACAAAGGGGCAGCAGCCCCCTGCACACACAGGCCGCGCGGGGGCTCAAAATGGTGGGCGGTGGTCGGTTATCGGTGGGCGGAAAGGGGGTCGGGCCAGGGGGCAGCTCTAACGACGCACAAGTGTAACATTAGCCTATGAAAAGATTGAAAAGCGGCAGCAACAAAGGGGGATGTTGCATGCTGCAGCGGGAAGACATGCTGTTGCATGTTAATTGAAATCAATAAGTGGAACACAGCCACCACCCAGGAGCCCCCGCCCAGTGCCATTCGCCTGGCTATCAATACGTGCACTGAGAAAAATGCAGAAGCTATTAGTAAATTACATATAGGTAAGTTCGATTAGAGATTGTTTTTCTATGCAAGTTATAAAGTATAAATAATATGACCTTTAAGTGTGGATATTTAATTTCAAATTATATTTGATGAAATTTATAATTTTTATTACAATTCCATTGATAAATTCTTACTCCAAAAATTTACAATTTATATCCTAAAAATAATTTGTTTTAAAGACAAAAAGTATATCTACCTTTAATCTAGTAGTCCCTTTTTTTCTGTGCATTTGCGGCTGTTTGCTTGTGTGTGTATGGTCACAATGGCGACCAGACGCCTCGACCAACAACAACAGCAACAAAGGACGACAGCAACAAGAGCAGCAGCAGCAGCAGTAGAAACAGCAACAGCAGCAGCAGCAACAACACAATGGTTAGTTATCGAAGTAAATGTGGTAAAGTAAATTATTTGCCCAACGGCTAATGACAATGGCATTGGCAACTACAACAACGTCAATAGCAATGGCAACAA